ATTTATTTGTTTATTTTTGAATGATTTACACATTGGAGTGAGAATCATGATACAATGATCGAATTGTAGACATCACACTTCGAATTCACAATTGTGATGGCAGATTCGTTGTCATTTTTATACATAGAAATCATTACATTTTTTTCTCTCTTAATAAGGCAATCAAAAGTTTTCTGTGTTCTTTATTTTACTTTCATTTTCATTGCTTGAGTGTATTTTATGCAGAAATACACTTCCAAATTCTTGGTAAATTAGAAAATTTAAGGATATTTAGGTTTGACTTCTAGTGTGCTGGTCGTAGTCAAACAGCAAATTAAATAGGAGCTTTCACTAGTAATCTACTGCATACATTCCATCTATTAAGAAGAAAAAATAACTCTCTTCTCTTTATAGATATTTTGCACAATAGGAATTAATATCTAAGCAAATGTTGAATTTTACGATAATATATAGGATAAATTACAATGGTAATCTTTATATTTTGTCATTAATCTTATTTTGGTCCTTATAATTTTAGTTGGCTTAATTTTGACTATAAATTTATCATTTTATCTCAATTTAATCCAATTAATTACAATTATTAATGCGGGGCGACGGCGGTCGGAGGCTGCGGCGGGGCTAAGTTGGGCGACGATCGGCGAATCGGCGGCTAGGAGGGGCGACGATTGGCAGCTGGCCAGGGCGACGATCGTCTTCTCTCTCTCTCTTCCCCTCTGCTTCTCTCTTTCTGTCCCTCTGCTTCTCTCTGCGTCTTCTTCCTCGAGCCATTCGAGCTAAAATATTTCGAACTACCAAACATTTCCCTACCTTTACCATCAGAAACTTAAGAGGGGATCCTCATCATCCCATCACTAATAGCAGCTCCAACTCTAGCTACCATCACCCCTACCCCCAATCACCAACCACCACCTGCACCACTTTTAGGCCTTTCCTCTAAGTTTCGACGACTCTTTTCAGTTCATCTTCACCCACCACCACCGTGATCGATCTCTCTCGCACTCTCTCTCTCTCTCGCACGTGCGAGATTACAATCGTGATTACAGAGGATCAGTCGCGGTGGCGACCCTCTCTTTTCGCGCAACCGTGACAACGACTACCTCCCTTGCGATCTCCCCAGGTCTAGTTTGTTTGTCCAGGTCTGAACCACCACCATTTGTTCGGTAGTCTACGTCTAAACTACCACATTTGTTCAGCGGTTTAAGCTGAATTTCTACCATTTGTTCGATATTGATTTTCCAAACATGTGTGACGGTTTCAAATGAAGAGGAATCAAACATGAGCAACATGAGGGAGGGCTCAAGGGTAGTTGTGCGGGCGGCAACAACAACAAATGGGTGAGATTAGTGGAATGAGAGATTTGGATGAAAGAAATGAGGTAGAGGATCGCCAATGGAGGAGGAAAAGGAAGAGAGAGAGTTAGGAAGGTGGGTCGTCAGAAGAGGGGGATTGCCGGTGGGGAAAGGGAGCTGGGGAGGGAGTTCCCCATCATTCATCTAAGTAAATAAACCCATGATCTTGTATAAAATTACAGATATATCACTTGCAAAGCAATTTTGTTGTGCAAAATGCCAGCAATTTTTTGGTCTGGAAACCATGTGACACACACGTGTAGTAATGGGAACACTCCTCCAGTTATTCAAACTTGGACGACCATACCTTCCATGTGCTCAACTGCATTATATAAATTTAGGATAGGATTGTTTTTAGGTCACCAAGTACGTACACAGGCTGGCCACTGGTTATTGGGGCCTGATTTCACGGATGCAACGATAACACCTCAGAATATTTAAATTCAGGTTAGGACTGTCCACTTTAATACACTGAACAACGATAACACCTCAGAATATTTAAATTCAGGTTAGGACTGTCCACTTTAATACACTGAACAACGATAACACCTCAGAATATTTAAATTCAGGTTAGGACTGTCCACTTTAATACACTGAACAACGATAACACCTCAGAATATTTAAATTCAGGTTAGGACTGTCCACTTTAATACACTGAACAACGATAACACCTCAGAATATTTAAATTCAGGTTAGGACTGTCCACTTTAATACACTGAACAACGATAACACCTCAGAATATTTAAATTCAGGTTAGGACTGTCCACTTTAATACACTGAACAACGATAACACCTCAGAATATTTAAATTCAGGTTAGGACTGTCCACTTTAATACACTGAACAACGATAACACCTCAGAATATTTAAATTCAGGTTAGGACTGTCCACTTTAATACACTGAACAACGATAACACCTCAGAATATTTAAATTCAGGTTAGGACTGTCCACTTTAATACACTGAACAACGATAACACCTCAGAATATTTAAATTCAGGTTAGGACTGTCCACTTTAATACACTGAACAACGATAACACCTCAGAATATTTAAATTCAGGTTAGGACTGTCCACTTTAATACACTGAACAACGATAACACCTCAGAATATTTAAATTCAGGTTAGGACTGTCCACTTTAATACACTGAACAACGATAACACCTCAGAATATTTAAATTCAGGTTAGGACTGTCCACTTTAATACACTGAACAACGATAACACCTCAGAATATTTAAATTCAGGTTAGGACTGTCCACTTTAATACACTGAACAACGATAACACCTCAGAATATTTAAATTCAGGTTAGGACTGTCCACTTTAATACACTGAACAACGATAACACCTCAGAATATTTAAATTCAGGTTAGGACTGTCCACTTTAATACACTGAACAACGATAACACCTCAGAATATTTAAATTCAGGTTAGGACTGTCCACTTTAATACACTGAACAACGATAACACCTCAGAATATTTAAATTCAGGTTAGGACTGTCCACTTTAATACACTGAACAACGATAACACCTCAGAATATTTAAATTCAGGTTAGGACTGTCCACTTTAATACACTGAACAACGATAACACCTCAGAATATTTAAATTCAGGTTAGGACTGTCCACTTTAATACACTGAACAACGATAACACCTCAGAATATTTAAATTCAGGTTAGGACTGTCCACTTTAATACACTGAACAACGATAACACCTCAGAATATTTAAATTCAGGTTAGGACTGTCCACTTTAATACACTGAACAACGATAACACCTCAGAATATTTAAATTCAGGTTAGGACTGTCCACTTTAATACACTGAACAACGATAACACCTCAGAATATTTAAATTCAGGTTAGGACTGTCCACTTTAATACACTGAACAACGATAACACCTCAGAATATTTAAATTCAGGTTAGGACTGTCCACTTTAATACACTGAACAACGATAACACCTCAGAATATTTAAATTCAGGTTAGGACTGTCCACTTTAATACACTGAACAACGATAACACCTCAGAATATTTAAATTCAGGTTAGGACTGTCCACTTTAATACACTGAACAACGATAACACCTCAGAATATTTAAATTCAGGTTAGGACTGTCCACTTTAATACACTGAACAACGATAACACCTCAGAATATTTAAATTCAGGTTAGGACTGTCCACTTTAATACACTGAACAACGATAACACCTCAGAATATTTAAATTCAGGTTAGGACTGTCCACTTTAATACACTGAACAACGATAACACCTCAGAATATTTAAATTCAGGTTAGGACTGTCCACTTTAATACACTGAACAACGATAACACCTCAGAATATTTAAATTCAGGTTAGGACTGTCCACTTTAATACACTGAACAACGATAACACCTCAGAATATTTAAATTCAGGTTAGGACTGTCCACTTTAATACACTGAACAACGATAACACCTCAGAATATTTAAATTCAGGTTAGGACTGTCCACTTTAATACACTGAACAACGATAACACCTCAGAATATTTAAATTCAGGTTAGGACTGTCCACTTTAATACACTGAACAACGATAACACCTCAGAATATTTAAATTCAGGTTAGGACTGTCCACTTTAATACACTGAACAACGATAACACCTCAGAATATTTAAATTCAGGTTAGGACTGTCCACTTTAATACACTGAACAACGATAACACCTCAGAATATTTAAATTCAGGTTAGGACTGTCCACTTTAATACACTGAACAACGATAACACCTCAGAATATTTAAATTCAGGTTAGGACTGTCCACTTTAATACACTGAACAACGATAACACCTCAGAATATTTAAATTCAGGTTAGGACTGTCCACTTTAATACACTGAACAACGATAACACCTCAGAATATTTAAATTCAGGTTAGGACTGTCCACTTTAATACACTGAACAACGATAACACCTCAGAATATTTAAATTCAGGTTAGGACTGTCCACTTTAATACACTGAACAACGATAACACCTCAGAATATTTAAATTCAGGTTAGGACTGTCCACTTTAATACACTGAACAACGATAACACCTCAGAATATTTAAATTCAGGTTAGGACTGTCCACTTTAATACACTGAACAACGATAACACCTCAGAATATTTAAATTCAGCCTAAGCTCTTAAAATAGAAAATATTAAGTATTTTACGTGTGTAATGTTTAGTTCATTACAATGAAAGTAGAACTGAATAATCACTTTATAAGAATGTCCATTGTCGCATTTTAGTTTACTAAAAAAATGAATAACATTACAAACAAATGAAATTATCTTTTACTATTGTAAGTGAATGATCATTTAGAATACAATTCAAAAAAATATTTCAGCAAACCACATATAACAGTAAGATTAATCTAATAATTGTTTTATATGTAGGCGAAAAATTAAGTACCCACAAATTAATCGAAGCTAAGCACTAAAAAGAATAAATAAAAAGAAAAAACTGACACTATTTGCACCCTACTCCTCATCATTGATGAAGGCATCTTTTAAAAAGCAATTGAAGATCTCATCTCATTCACTGGCAACCCAAAAAAGGGCAAAGCTAATTATACCCAAAAAAAAAAGAATAAAAAAAAGTTAAACTACAAAAACAAAATGAATGAATTGAATATTAACGTAACACAAAAGGCATGATAAGAAGAGTCATCATCATTTTGATTTCATCATTGAAGTCCAATTCAATCACAAATCTTGATTTTATTCTCAAATCCAACTGTTGATCTGCACCTTTTTTGAGCAGAATTCAACCTCTCTCACTCTCTACCTTACAATTAAAAGTACATTATTACCCTCCACCTCACAGATCTACACTTCTCCCACCCTTTTTCCCTCCTCATTTTATGGTGTAGGTCCATATAAAAATCTATGTCTATATAGTACAAACACTAATAACACCCAATTTTGATCCAATACAACAATAACAACTTCAAAAAAAAAATTACTATTAATTAGTTTTGGGGGTATTGTGTATTTCCTTTTTTACCCTCGATTCAATCCCATAATAACTAACATACCACTTTACGAACTTTCTCAACCCAGTGGCCAAGTCGGTGGTGGGCTTGTACCCGAAGTCCTTGTACGCCAGGCTCACGTTGGCATGAGTGAACGGAACGTCGCCGTTTCGCGGCATCTTGATCACGTGCTTCTTGGCCTTCACATTCAACAGCGACTCCAAAATCGCCACCAGCTTCGCCACCGTCACCGGCGCCGTGTTCCCGAGGTTGTAGATCCTCAGCTCCGCCGCCGCCTTCTTCTTTCCGCCGCTTCCGGTGCTCTTCTTCGCCGTATCGATCGCTCCTACGCACCCTTTAACCACGTCGTCGATGTACGTGAAGTCACGCGCAACCGCAGCGCCGTCGTGAGACTCATAAATGTTGATGGGTTTCCCTTGAAGAATGTCCTTGGTGAAGAAGAAATAAGCCATGTCTGGTCTTCCCCAAGGTCCATAAACAGTGAAAAATCTCAACCCAGTAATCGAAAGTCCGTAGATGTGATTGTACGTGTGAGCGATTTCTTCGCCAGCTTTTTTCGTGGCGGCGTAGAGGCTCGCCGGCTGGTCTGTTCGGTCTGATTCGGAGAATGGGTTTTGGGTGTTGAGTCCGTAGACAGAGCTCGATGAAGCCCAGACAATCGACGGTTGAGGATCGGCCGATTTGGCGATCTCGAGGAGGTTCACGAAGCCAGCGATGTTGGAATTGATATAGGATTGGGGGTTTTTCATGGCATAGCGAACGCCGGCTTGAGCGGCGAGGTGGAGGATGTGGGTGAAGGGGACAATGTCGAAGAGCTTGGAGAGCAATTGGGCGTCGTTTAGGTCTCCTTCGACGATGAAGATCTGGTGCTGAGACAAGAGCTCTTGGCGAGCTCGTTTGAGAGATGGGTCGTAGTAGGAATTGAAGTTGTCTAAGCCAAGGACACCGTCGCCGCGTTTTTTCAACGCGAGGGAGGAGTGGGTGCCGACGAAGCCGGCGGCGCCTGTGACGAGGATGGAGAAGCCGTGGGGGCGGCGGGGGGTGGCGGAGTGGCGGACTTGTTTTTCCCAGGCGGCGGTGGCGCCGGCGTAGAAGGCGGAGGAGAGGAAGTTGCGAGTGGTGGTGTGGATGTGGTGATGTTTGTTGTTGTTGGTGGTTGTGGAGAGAGGAGGGTAATTGAAGGTGAAGAAGATTATGAGGAGGAGAGAGACGAAGAGAGTGAGGCGGAAGAGAAGGTTGGAGGAAGCGGCTAAGAGTTTAGTGGTGTTGAGTCTTCTGATGTAGCTGTTGTATCGCTCGATCTTTGTGGTTTTACTGGTGTCTGGGGGGTACGCCATTTGATAGAATTTGTGTAATGTTTTGGGGAGAGAGAGAGAATGTGTGTATGTATGTGTATAGCTGTATATATGTTTTTGAGCAATGAAGTGGGAAGAAAGTGTAGATGGATAGATGGGTATAAGAAGGAAGATCAGAGAGGGAGAGGGGTTGGGTGGATTGGAGAGCAGTGGTTGTTGTCTATAAATGGTTTCACTCGCTTACAGATGGAAACGGAGAGGAAGCTTCTATTACTGCACACCAAAAACACTTCCCCCCCACTTCAAACATATCACTTCACTCGCTTACAGATTATAGTACTAAAAACTAGGTGTGGAACGTCGATGCACTCAACCCGAGCAATTCCACTTCAATCTGAATTTTTTTTTAGAGAAATGTTAGGGATTACGAAAAATTTTTCATCAAAATAATTATGAAAGATTTGTGATTTTTGAATTATTTTAATTAGTGTGTGGTATTTTATTCTAAGTATAATTCAAATGTTATAAATTTTTCATGATCATTTTCATGAAAGACTTTTCATGATACCTAGCATTGCTAATTTTTTTAAGGTTTAAACCATATATTTTTAATTTGGTACGAATTTGGGTAAAAACTTAAAAGATTGAATTAAGTTTGGATGAGATACGAAGATATTATATGCTCCAATTAATATATCAATTAATGTATTAATATACCTTATATCTTTATTATTGATCCACTTATTATACAAATTATAAGTATTCAAAACTACTAAAATTATATCACATTATTTGTTAGTACATTAATTAGTATATCAATGAGTGCATATAGCATTATTCATTTAGATAAAGATATCAAATAATCTGACTAACCCGATACTTGAATTATACATATATAAATATATAAAAAATATTAAATATATATATATATATATATAAATTATTAACCATTACATGATATTAATATAATTTAAATTATTAAATCATATTTAATATATATTATATATACAAGTAATACAAAATCTTATATTTTTTATTCTCACTTATCAATTACAAAGATTACTATAACGACATCTCTCTTATATAATATAAATTATTTATTCTATTGTTATTAATAATTTTCTTAAATAAATGTAAATAAAGTCTAATTTTAATAATTTAATAATTTCGTTGCAAAAAAAAATACTAAAATTCATTTACAATTCAGACAACTCGAACAATTCGGGTTTAACTTGGGTCGGACTTGAACAGACAATCTTATGTTACAATTTGGAATTGGACAGGCATGGGCAAGTCTCAACACAACTTGAATTAAATTTGAACAACCTCACAACCTACTCGAGTTGTACCCCTAATTAAAACAAAACATACACATAATTTTAATTTTTGAGTTATAATTTAAAATATGTCATAATTAAACACAATATAAAGTATAATTAACAAATTCATGAATCATAACTAAAATAATATCATAATTAAAGAACAAAATAATACAACTAGAGGTGCATATGGTATACCTTTTTTTAAAGGGTTTATATTAGAATTCGCCTGTATAAAAAACGTAATATAAGAAGAAAAAATACTATAGGCCCAATATTTTTATCAAATATTTGATCAAATATCTCACGTGAAAGACTTGATTGCCACTGGTCCCACCTCTAAACTAGAGTGTTATTTAAGGTCATAAATTTATCATATCAAAAATGCTAGACCCAAAAATTGTACCAAAATTTTTACCAAATATCTTATATGAGCGTGGGACCCACATGAGATTCACATTATGTGAGTCACACACCCATGCGAGACATTTGATAAAATTTTTAAGATTTTTAGCATTATTACTCTTATCATATATCTTGTTTTAATAATGGGACATTTATTAATAAATTCTGTATTTATTATTTATGGATCGTTTGCTCTCATAAATAATCTTATGAACTCATCAGTCTTATTTCACATTAAAACCTTCAAAATGAAGTATGCTCACATTTAGAAATGTAATAAGACAGCAATGCACACATTATAATGATATCTCATTATCACATTTTAAGAATGATACACTTGACAAAAGTTAAGTAAGATAATAGTTCACAAATATCTCATTGTCACATTTAAAAAAAAAAAAAAAAAACATTTCGTAAAAGTCTAATAGGACAATAGTGCACAAATGTGTCAATTGTCACATTTAAGAATACTCGTTGTCATATTTGACAAAAATTTAATAAAATAATAGTGCACATATTACAATGATGTCACATTTTAAAAATGACACATTTAGTAAAAATTTAATAAGACAATAGTGCATAATTGTTCAATGTCCCATTTAAAAAAGGCTCATTGTTACATTTGACAAAAATTTAATAAGACAATAGTGTACAAATAAAACATATTGACATTTATTGTCTCTAAAAAATATAGTAAGATGATCTCACAGTATACCATTTCAAATTCAATAGGACATTTTAGTTTACAAAAAAATTCTTGGGACTTTCATTTATTAAAAATAACAATAAAAAAATTAGATTGATTCGATAATCGTATATTATTTAATATATTGTATTTATGTCCAAAAATTAAATTATTATTTTATTTTTTTTAGTGACAAATGCATTAAATTGACTAAGTTATGAATATAGAATCGAATTAATTCTTTTTATAAATAATATACACAGAAAATCTTACAAAATTAATGGTTTAAATTATTAAAAATGATTTGTGATGGACCTCACGAGCTCAAATAACACTTTTCAGTTTACATCATGAACGGGGAGGGAGCCAGTCCTTACAAGAATGATGAATGATAAGGCCACATTGAGAATTTTATAAATAAAAATTATTTTTATAAATATTTATTTGAAAGTAAAAAATTTATATTAAAGCACATTATTCTGTTTTACATTACGATTATTTTTTTTTTTATGCGATATTTGTTTATTAGTGGGATAGTCCCCCGAAAAAAGTGTTATATATGAAAATCTTTTAGGTGTAAGCTTGATAAACCAAAAAAACTTACACTAGGAAATGACTGACATGCATCCTAGCACCCCCTTACCTTCCCCCTGTGCTTCGGTGGTTTTTCTTTTGGGCAGCTGTTCACCATTTTGTTCTTGTCAACGCAGTCCCCTACAGATTTCATTATCGAGATATCTGTTTTTCACTGTCTAACATATTTGAAATTTCTCAATTTTACTATACACTACAAGAAAATACATTTTTGGCGATTATTTTTGGCTACTAAAAAAAATTTAGTCGGCAAAAGTGTCAGAATTGGCTACCAAAAATAATATTAGTCGGCAAAAGTCAACTTTTTAGCTACTAATTTTTTTTAGTAGGGGAATGTTGATTATTGGCGACTAAAAAAAATTTAGTAGCTAAAAATATTACAATTGACGACTACAAAAATTTTTAGTAGCTAAACATATCACAATTGGCGACTAAAAGAAATTTTTGTAGCCGTAGAGCTACTTTTAGCTTCTAAATTGTTTAGTAGCCAAAAGAATTTTAAAAATTTATTTTTTATCTTTTGGCGACCAAAATTTTGGTAGCCAATAGTTTATTTTCAACGACGAAAAAAAATTTAAGTCGCCGTAGGTAGAGATTTGGCTACTAAAACGCTTTAGTCGACGATTGGAAAATAAAAAAAATATTTTTTTTCCTTTGACGACTAAAATTTTAGTCGCCAATAGTTTATTTTCAGCGACGAAAAACAATTTTAGTCGCCGTAGGTAGAGATTTGGCTATTAAAATGCTTTAGTCGGTGATTGGAAAATTAAAAAAATATTTTTACCTTTGGCGACTAAAATTTTAATAGCTTATTTTCAGCGACGAAAAATAATTTTAGTCGCCGTAAGTAGAGATTTGGCTACCAAAACGCTTTAGTCGGCGATTGGAAAAAAAATATATTGGAGGGTTTTTTGAAATTTTAGAGGGTTTTACAAATTAATTGGCGGAGATCACTTGAAGAACCAACGGGTGAGAGATCAATACCTCTCCAATGAAATATTAGGGTCATCTCTTCGTTTCAGAAGATGAAGGGTTGAGAAGTCCAGTTGCGTCGCCGTCCCGCCGCCGCTCCTCCTCGCGTTCGCCGGCAACCGGAGCACCTCCTCCTCCTCCTCCTCCTCCGCCATCGCCATCATGACTGCTGCGACCACCACTACCTCCGCTACCACCTCCGTCGATGCCCTCTTTTCACACCACCGCCTCCTCCTCTTTCTCCTCCGTCGATCTTCACAAATCTGCAAATGTCCCTGAACCAGAATCGCTATATGTGAGAAAAATGATTGTTTATACATTTATTCATTTATTGTTAGATATATATGTAAACACTTTAAGTATGATCATATAATTGTTACAAAAATGATTGAGAGGTACGGTTGTGGCTCACCAATGTATTTGAAGTCACCTAAGATGATAGAATTTTTGTAAATTGAAGGCTAGCATGTTTATTGAGTCACCTAAGTTGATTTTTATTTTTTGTTTTTTGATTTCTTGTTTTGATGAATCTATAAAATTTCCTTTACTCACTCACAAGCTTACCTGTAAAGGTGGATGATATTTTTTACCCCATTTTGTTGCAGTTTCTAATTTTAGATTTGTGGTGCTTCAGAAAATCAAGAACCCCAACTATAAGGGCAAGTGGTGCTTCAGAAAATCAAGAACCCCATTTTGATGACTCCTTCGATGTCTGCTTCTCCAGGTCAGCTTTTATTTTTATTTAATTGGTTACATTATTTTAGATTTTTTTAGGGTTAATTTCGCTTTTTATTAATTAGGGGTGGTCTTGGGGCGAATACACATGTTATATAATTTTGGGCTGTTTATTAGGATTTTGGAGAATAACTTGATAAGTGGGGTGCTAGAATAGTTAGATTGGTAGATACCAAACTTTTAGCATTATCTGCAGAAAGTGGTTGCCCTCAGGTTCAAACCCGCATTGTCAAACTTGACATCCGAAGCTTTTACTGTTGCATGAAGAATTGGTCCCTATTAGAGAATGGGCAGTTTGTGCTACAATTTGATTTCTAGAAAATGGGAGCCAAAAATTATTTGTTTTTGGTGATGATGGCTTCAATTTTTTTTGTTGAATTTTGATACTATGTACAATAGAATGGTTCAATCCATTCTTTATATGACACCCAAATTCATATTGAGTTGATTCTTGAGTGATGATCAAGAATTTATTCTTTCATATTCTTCACAGTCAATTGACCATATGGGTTTGTTTGTTTCAGTCCACTGAATAGGTCGAAGAGAACAGCTGAAATCATTTGGAGTGCTCGCAAGGAGGAGATTATTACTGATTCTGATCTGAGGGAAATTGACCTGTACTCTTTTCAAGTTAGCTTAATTTCTCAACATCTCTTCCATTAGATGTGCAGTTATATTATATGCTTCAATGATTTTTTAATGATAGGAAGATGTAACATGCCAAAGAAATGGTATAGTAATGGTTGCTGATTCCATTATTGACTTCAGGGTCTCCTAAAGCATGAGGGAAAAGCAAAGTTTGGTGCGGCAAATTTTAATATTGATGGTCATTATCCAGTGATGGAGTTATGGGATCGTGCTAGTTGCTGCTGGACCAAAATCTTAACTCACGAAAGCAGGTCTGTTCTTGTGGTTGCTCACAATGCTGTTAATCAGGCCCTCGTTGCAACAGCGATTGGTACTATCTACTTTCTTTGTTATGACTTGCCGACAGAAATTTTAATATGTCATTGTGAATGTAGTTTCTTCTCTTTTCCTTCGTTGCTTCTTCCCATTTATCAGGCTTAGGCACCGAGTATTTCAGGATTTTACTGCAGAGCAATTGTGGTGTGAGTGTGCTGGATTTCACCCCACGACTAGAGGGTGGGTCTCCATATACATGTCTTAATCGCTTAAATCAGGTATCCCTATTCATTCTTCAATATTACTTAAAGGGTGATCCAACATTATCTTTATAATTTCAATGCAGTAATGACATTGAGTTGTCTATTCCCTTCATGAACTGACAAATTCTGTATCCAATTTGCTTAAATCAATCAACAATATCTGTAATGACATTATGACATTGAATCTTTTTTTCTGACCTACAAAATGGTTGGTATTGATCATTAAGCATTTTGTACATCGAAGTTGTGGTCTAGTATAGTTGAATGCCTAAATTTTTAGGGTAAAGAACCCATTTACTCTGAGCACTTGGCATACATTATGACATTGAATCATTAAGCATTCTATTCATAGATTCCCCATCTTCTATGCACTCCTCATTCAAACATACATTTCTCCAACTTCGATAAGGCAAGTGTGTCATTAAAAAGTGTAATAATGACATTACACCTTGCATGTTCTATACTGTTTGGCAATAAAAAATTGTGGGCCCTTTAAGAGTTGCTACCAACTACAATTAGTTCATTTTCGTTGTAAATTTTTTAGCTTTGCCTGTAATTATTGGAGCTCTTTTATTGCATTGCAGGTAAAGGCTGGTGAGAATCACTCAAATATTTTATTTACAAGTTTTTATCATGTGAATTGCTCTTTATAGTTGATTTGATAGTTATATTATCTAATTTGCAAGTTTTTATCTTTATGAAATTTCAGATTGAAAAGGATGCCTTTGAGGAGGCAGAGAAAGCAAGAAGAGCTAAGGAAGAGGAGGTGATTGACAAGAATTAAATTATTAATTGAGTTTTGTGGCTTGACCTAGTGTTTCTTCTGAATATTCTCCTGCTAAGGAACAGGATTGTGGTGCAGAGATTGTTATCACTCTCGCAGTCACTGAAGGTAACTGGATGCCACTTTCAGAGCTTCCTATGCATTCATGATTAACTTCAAGCTTTCATCAAAATTCAGGTGATTGGCAATTTTTTTTGTTAATATTATGCCTAACTTCCAACTAATCCCACTTTTGACATTCTTTTGGTGAATCTTTATAGTATTGTTGATGTATTGAAAGCAAAAGAGAAGAAATGTACACTTGCAATTCAGAGCTTCCTATGAAATGAGCATATTGCAGACCCATATAGCAATTAAGTGTTCATCCAATTTTTTTTCTCACAAGTTTCTATTTACATCAGCACTTTCTCATCATTGATACTTCACAACACTTCTTTCATAACAACATATATGCATGTTCTATATTGGAATAAATGAATAGTAATGACTTTCATTATTTAATATTGATGAGTTTTCTTTTTTATTTACTACATCTGTTTCCTAACTCAATTGCTGAAGGTCTCTTCAGGCTCCGGAGATGCAAGAATCTGAACACAAGTCCAATTGCAATGCAAAATATTCTAAATTGCAAGGGACTGATGTCCATGTTTAGAATGATGACTTTGGACTGTGACATGATAGCCGTGGGATGCTATCCTTTCATTTCACCGTATCTCATTTTGCCATTTATCCTTGTGTTTTTGTGTCTGATCTTTTTTTGTTTTTTGGGCCTCCTTTTCCCAGGTGCGAACCATTGTGAAACCAGGGTGTTCACAGGATGTTCTCAAGGCAGCTTTGAGTGCCATGGCTTCTGTGACAGAAATTCTCTCAGTAATGACCTCGTTTTCGAACAGTGGGGTGACACCATTTTAGAAGCACAAATTAACCACTTTGGTACTGGAATTCCAAATTCCTTTTGATTCTTGTTTTTACTTAAGTAGTTTCATAAATTTCTCTTAGGTAAGGTTGAGGATTTTATTTTTTCCCCAAAAATTTGCAAACTATGTGATGCAAAATAAATGGAAGCTGTGTTGAGGCTTATTGAAAATTGAGATTTTTTCTTTGTTGTCAGAAAAAAAAGGTGAACCATGTTCTGTTCCTTACCGAATGAAATTTGTATGCATCAAGCCATAAATAGCAATTTGATGTTTTTTTGCAGTAATTTTTAAAATTTGAACTCTTAATAAGAATAAATATGCTTTTATCTTACTAGCTTACATGATATGTAATCCTAATAGACATGTTTAAAGTCTTACCTCCATCATATGAATAAATACCCTTTTCTGTGAATAAACATTTTGGAAGATCAGCCATTCAATTAGATATACCACTTGTAATGGTAGTGCTGCCCTTGAATATACTTTTTAGTTTTGATTTATGACTGGCTCGCTATAATATCAGTTGGAGTGAGATTATTCCGGATATGTAGCGCTAGTACAAAAATACTTTTCTCGTGTCTGGCAAGGCAACACCACAACCAAAGAAGTGAATTTTTTCAAATTTATGTAGAAGACATCCAGCATATTTAGAAATTTTATCGTCTCTTTTTGAAGAAACTTGATTGAATTATATTTTGAAAATAGGCTGCAGGGCAAAAACAACAAAAGAAAAGAAAGGTTAGTGGTATATATTTTTTCTTATTTAGACAATTTAGGAGAAAACATAAAAGAGAAATTGATAAATTTACGCCGTCCACCCTAAAAATTGTGCACATTGTATGAAAGTTATGTTTTGTGTAAAAGTTATGAATATTTGTGGTGTTATGATATTTTGTGATAAAATTACGAATAATAAACTTATATGCACTATAAAGTTTTGAATGGTAATATTATAATACTTTGTGATTTATCTTATAATATTTTGTGATAAAAAAAAGTTATGATTATTGTGATGAACACTCTCATTGATTAGTGTTATATTTTAGAAACATATTGGTGCCTGCATGTTTGTGTTTGGGATATGATTGCTCCATATAAGTCCTTGCTTGCTGTTATGATCAAGAACATGCCTAGTTGTTTATAGTGGCAGTTTTTTGTTGTGAGTGTTGGTTACATTCTGGCTGATGCACACTGTTGTCTGCTTGCTCCACCCAGAAAACAATCTTGGAAAGGTAATGCAGAAAGGCATTTGCCTAGTTGGGATGATGGGTTCAACTTCCATGGTACTGCAGGTAAGCACGTCTTTTATTTTTTTCCTATGCAGTAATTTTACATTGTGTAATTGGATCGAGGACACTATGAATATGTATTTCTATATTTTTATTAGACATGCACTTGATTTCACATTCATGCAATGGTTCTGCAGGTGCCAGCAGCAGTGGACGAAGGGGATGGGCGAGTGGGAGTAGTTGGCCCCTTCCAATCTGAGGGTTTTATGGAAGGACTCGAACAATGGGAGCTTCATGAATTCTGTCCTGATCTTCTTAGTGCCAGCTTGTACTTCCAAGCTTGTTACGCCCAGTGGCCACGTCGGCGTTCCATTGAAGCCGACCATCGGGCCATTCGATTGCTCCATGTCGTCTGGGTGAAGGCCTAGCTCCCTGTAACATCTAACGTACATGATGTCACAAGAGCTGCCCTGATCTATTAGGATGCGTTTCACTTGGCACTCCCCAACCTGGAGGGATACTACCAAGGCATCATTATGTGGATGCTGGACCATCTCTAGGTCAGCTTCAGTGAAGGCTATCATCGGTCCTCAGCACTCTTCAGGCCGAGGTCTTTTATGTCCGACCTGGTTCACGTGCTGTAGGTGTTTTACTCTTTAGGTTTCTCCTTGAATGTCGCTTTCGTTCACTTTTGAGTGAATTACATTAACCACCCTAGGTCCCCCTCCCTGTGGTTGTTGTGCTGGGGGAGGAGGGGCTGCTAGTGCTTGAGGCAATCTTGCCTGCTCTTCTCTTGTCCTGGCTTCGTCGACGAGGTCCCTCAGATGGCCTTGCCTTACTAAGTCCTCTAAGTATGCTTTTAGGGCTCTGCAGCCCTGAGTTGGGTGCCCTTCTTCATTGTGGTAAACACAACGCCTACCAACGTTCCTTCCCATGTATTCCTCTGGGGCCTTTGCTGGTGCTCTGAAATAAGGTTGATTTCGAACTTGCTCCAGGACTTTGTGTACTGGGATTCGGAACACAGTCGTCACTGCCTGTTTACCCCTCAATTCTATCTCCGATTTGTTAAATTCGTTGTCACCTCGGCTTCGTTTCGGCTCGCCGTTCCCTTTTTCCTGCTTTACCTCTTTATTCTCCGACGTGTCCTCCTTGGCTCTGGCATATTTCTCAATTCTCGCCATGAGCTCTTCCATGCTTTTTGGCAAAGTTTTTGCCAAAGACTTCCGTAGTGGACAATTGTTTTTCAGGCCGTTCTTGAATGATACGACCGCTACTTCTTGATTACATTCTGGTATTCGATTGAACACCTCATAGTACCTTTTCGCATAGGCCCTAAGGCCTTCGTCTTTGCTGATCTTCAGAGCCATCAATGCGTCCACCCTCAACGGCTGCAGTTTGTTTGTTACCAACCTGGCCACAAACATCTCGGCCAGGCCTTCCCAAGTCTTTACGCTTCCCTCCTTGGTCTTTACGACCATGTCATCGATGTAGACTTCTACTGTTTGGCCAATCAGGTGTTTGAACCGGCTCGTTCCCACTATATAATGCCATTGAATTCAGGTATAGCCCGACGTGGAAGTTGGGATCTGACTTACCATCATATATTTGGAACCTCGGCATACTGAATCGCTTTGGTGCTTGAAATTTGTCCAGTTCCACCGAGAATGGTGTCTTCAGCTTAACCGGGAAAGTTACCTCGGCTTCGGCATTCTGTTGTTTCCTCTTCAGGTAATCGCTCAAGTCTTCTTTACTCCTTCCTGGAGCTCAGCTATCTTTGGACTTCAATCTTTTTGGCACACTACTTTCAGCCTCGTGGTGGGCTCATTTTGACCTCTTTCCATGTGTTGTGTCAAAGCAAAGTGCTTGCCCTTGAACATGCCGATGTTCTTTGGGCTCTTGGTCCTTCGTCTGATACATCCTTCGGGACTCTTCTCGTCTTGGCTCCTCTCGTCCGACTTCCCTGGAAGGTCGGTGAGAGTGCCTTCCACTCCTGGTGTGCTGAGGGACTTCGGGGATTGTTCTTTTTCCTCCCTTCTGGTTGTTAGTTGCGGGCATCGGCGTATCCTGCAGCAGGTATGGTGGCTGCATGACATTATTTTTCATCATGAAGTTGACGACCGACTGAAGGTCTGCCAACTTGTTCGCCAATTCTTTTACTTCGTCATCTCTCCGTAGGCACCTTTCCCTCCATACGTGAAGGTTGTCTTCGTGATAGTACTTGCCTTGGTCTGTTCTCTTCGAAGTACCGCCCTCCTAGCCGACGTCTTTTTCTCCGTGGCCCTGGTCATGAGTTTCTGTATTGTGGTTGTCTCCTTCAACGTCAAGGTCAATTGGTCTGCCACTCCCAGCAGGAGTGTCGCCTCCAATGTTTTCCCTCTGTCCGTTACTGGCCATCTATTCTTCTAAGTTCCCACAGACGGCGCCAAATTGTGTGGGTGATTTTCTTATCACACTGCCCGCCTAGTAATCAACTGGAGAGCACCGGCAGAATAGATGGCTTCAGCAAACCTGAAACAGAAAGAAAAGGCTCCGGTGGTGGCTCTTCCACCCGGGAGCACTCCGACGATCAAGTCAGTATATCTCTCAAATATAATCAAGTGCTAAACTCACTATTCAAGGCATAAAACTGCGTACCTTAGACCCACGGGGGTGCCTCTCTTTTATAGTTTACTCAATCCTAGTCCCACTAGAAGCTTGACTTCTATGGACTCTAATTCTGTACTTACTTTGGATTTCTTGAAGAGATAAAGATAAACTCCCTAAGAGCTTTATCCTTATCTTAGCAAAGTCTTCTCTTTACTCTAGGACTCTTGCCCCTTATCCTTTATCCGCTTATCTCGGATTCCGATATCTTTAGAGATAACATCGGCCTCGCCGAGATAACCTCGGCCTCACAACCAGAACATGTGGCACTTCGGCTGACACGTCGGCGTCACCTTGCCACGTGTTGATATTCAGAAAATACACCCCACAATACCTATGCTATGCTTGGTTAGGAGATTTGAGAAGGGATTTGAAAAGAGAAAAATTGTGTAAAATTATGTGAAATGTAAGTATATTTTATTCACATTTCACCTACCTTTTTTATTTTCATTTTCAAATCCCTTCTCAAAAAATGTCCAACCAAACACAGCATTAGAGGGGAATTCTCTTACTGTCATCAACTGTATAGAGGCCCAAAGTAAAGATTTTTCTACTATTGGGGACTATGTTGGAAGCATAAGGTTAGCACTGCAGGGTTTTGCCATTAGCAGGTTTCACACGTTAAATGGCAAGGAAATCAGGCAGCAGACCTTTTGGCTAGGATGGCTGTTGAAGATAAACCGGTGTGGATGGAAGAAGTCCCAAGCTCTTTGTCAAAAGTGACTACCGATGATGCTATCAATTCTATAGTCTTTGGGTTTCATGCCCACCATAAAAAATAATAATAATAAAATAACAAACAACAATGATGATAATAATTGTGTGTTTTGGTGAGATGAATTGGAGTTTTGGAGTGAATAAAAAAATGAAAAAATAATTGAAATTAGGAAAGAAGATAAAAAAAAACTTGAATATGAAGAAAAAAAAAATTTAAAATTTAATATATATTATCTTTATTAATAAATTTATATTAGTATATAATAGGAATTAAAAATTTAAAATTTTAGTTGTACATATTTAATTATTATTTGGGCGTAAATAAAATCACCTATTTTCATATAATCTGCCTAGTGTTAGTTTTTTGAGAACGGAGAATAGAAATTTAGAAATAGAGAATTCTTACCTCATGTAGACAATGAGTTAGTTGTTACACAGTACTAACTTAGGCCAAGTTTGGCATGAGACAAAAAAGATAAAAAGTCAAAAAGTCACTATCCTATTTAAGTCACATCATCTTATTTAAGTCGCATCACCTCTCTAAAACATCCCTTCAAATCCAACCCAAATCCAACCCATATTTCATTAGAAGTTAAAAAGTACACTTATTTAGTCTTTCCAAACTAGGCCTTAATATGTGAGATGGGTGTAACCAACCTAATCCACCTTGGTCGGCTTGGTTGGTGACAAAGTCGACCTCATCCATCTCTATTTGCACTATTTTATTGGTTTGGTGGTGCACATGTGCATTTGTCAAGTGGTGCTTGAAAACTACTTAATAATCTTTTTTCAAAACATTAATGCGTTATGCCTCGAGAATTGCGTGGTTTCATTTTTCAGAAAATATTTTTTAGAAAATTTTAGTTTTTTATTTTTCATTTTTTTTATTTTTACTGAATTTTTTTATTATTTTAAGTAATTTTTTTACTTTTTAGACACACCTAACATAAATACACCTAAAAAGTAAAAAACTTGTAAATTTTTTTTAAAAAAAATTCACTAAAGACCAAAAATACAAAAAAAAAATACAAAAATTCAGTACATTTTTTTGTATTTCTATGTATTTATTAATTTTTTAAAATATTTTTTTACAAATTTTTTACTTTTTAGATACATCTAACTAAGGTGCATCTAAAAAAGTAAAAAAAAAAAA